ATTTGTAGAAGAAAATTTTTGTTCAAATATCTACTGAATAAGAAGATATCGTGAGAACAATGACTACACATTAACAATGGAAACAATATATTGTTATTCAACCCAGAAAAACGACAAGCGCAATATTTTTCAACGATAAATAAAACTGAAGCTGATAAGATGTAGTTGTTGTTTAATTACAGTAAGTTGGTAATGTACGAGTCATTTATATATTTGTTTAAAAAATGAAAATCCATAAATTACACTATGCACATACAATTATCAGAGAATTCTGCTGGCATCAGCGGTGTGCAGGATCTTGTTTATATTTATGTAGGAATACTTTAGTTGAGTAATATTTGTTTAAAAAGTATTCGTATGTGTTTAAACTTACCCTTATTTTCGCCACAACAAAATTAATTTGTCATGAAGCTAAGATGTGTTTATTTCGTAAACTAAAATATTTTGGCTAAAATGAAAGTGTATGTTTGATTCAGTTAAATCATTGGTTCTTATATTAAACTGCATTTCTTTGTTTTACGTAACACAATCTACATATTTACCATTCTTTAAATTGGTCTAAAATAAATGAAGCTTAAGCATGACTAATACATTTTACGTACGATAATATGCATTTTTTTCATCTGAGATATTTGTTTAAGTTGAATAGCATATTTATATGATTGTGTATCATATATTAATATTATATTTATTAGGAATCCGTCTGGTCTACTCTCACATAAAGATAAAAATTTTAAAAAATCTGCACTTTTCATAGAATTATTTATAATGATTCTCCAAGAGAGTCAAACAAACTGTTTCCTACTCTGGTCGGAGAAATGTCAAGATACATTTTACGTAATCGACAAACTTCTGTAGATTAAACACAAACCTTGAAATAACCAAAAATATTTCTGTAATTCTAATATTCTAACCTGAAAATATCAAAATGTAAAGCGATTATTTAAAATGTTAATAATATAGTATCCCACAAATTCTTATTATCTTTCTTGTGATAGTAAATAAAAAGAAAGATCGGTAAGACAATCACGTGATAGATGATCCTTTTGGAAACGTGAGGTAGATAAAGTGAGTGCATACCATACGTTTTTGTTTGTATTCGATGCACATCTCGAACTTTAATTATTTTTTCCTGTTTAGAACCGTTATCTTTTTATATTCAGTACATTTTACTTTGTTGTATTGCGTTTTTTTCAATCTTTTTCTTGTTGATTAATGTGTACCTCTAATGTTGTGAGAACATATAGTAGGACAAAAATTGCATTTACTGCACAAAAACTTAAGATTAGTGTATAGTGAAAACAATTTGGAACCGTGATACTTTAAGTGTTTGGAGAGCACACAGGCAGTTGTGTACGAAATACCAGAATTTAAGTAGCAAAGAATCTGGAATATTACAAGTTTTACTTTCGTTTTCAGAAAAAAAAAATCAACATATACTAGAAACAACAGGTGCTGAGGTGTATTTAAGAAATAAATCAGACGGGTTCTAGGTTTAAGTAATGTATGCATCTGAATGGAGAGGCGAATCCAGAAATATCTTATGGAGGGGAGGGTAGAACCTAACAAGCTGGCAAGTTGAATGTTGGATGGAACCTCTGACAGAAGAGCTCAACATTAGTATTTAAACCAGAATAAAACTCAAAATAGCATCTTAAAGGTAAGTTGGGCTTTGGTTTTGTTTAACTGAACAGTCAATTACAATTGTAGCGATTCAGTAGGGTTAACAATGAAATGCTAGGAGTCGACCACTAATGCACCTTTAATCATCATTAGCTGCTGTCCAAGTTGCTGTCCTGGGTATGACAATGTTAGGAGTCGTCCACTTGCTATCTTTTGTGAAAAATGCTATTTTAAAACTGTGTGCGAAGATGTTAACGTTTTTAACAATGCCTTTTGTTCACCTATTTTTTTAAAAATTTATTTATAAATTTTGAAATTTAGAAGTGTTTTGTCCCTTATACATAACTCTTACAAGAACACACAAATATGACTGAAACAAAACGAAGATATATTTTCTTCATACTTTTTTCTTTACTTCATATAAACGAGGAATGATCACTACGCACATATCGAGTAAATGTTTAAAGGTTGTATGAATATTCAAACTCTACAGCATAAAAAGGGTGTATGAGTAAAATGAACAAATTTTTAAATAGAGGAATTTATTGCGCGAGTTAACGCTATAAAAATTCCGTAGTTATCCATGCAGTACGTATTACTAATACGAACAGTCAATTACTAATACTAGTCAAATGCTAATAGGACCAATTAAATACTCTCTGCTGATATCGCCTCTGCCTTTTCGTCCAAACAAATTTTTTTTTTTTTTTTTTTTTTACGGAGGATGTTGATTGATCGAGAGTCAAAATGGAATTAGTGGTTTCGATACTCCTTTCCGGTGAAGTGGCCTTTTGGGATCTTAGAATGTGAGGGAGGTCACGAGCTGGGAAGAAAGGACGAGCCATACTGGAAATATCTACATGTAAGAAAATGGATTTGTACATGAACTATGGATAAAATGGAACCGAATATGGTAATGAATTAATATTATAATGCTTCACAAAGAAAATGGAATGACACAGACTTAATGGACTAGAACATAAATATTTTGAAGTACTGGAATTGGAAAGAAAAAAATGGAATTTGATTTGTAAAATGAAGATAGTATGAACTTGCTGTAGAAACAGGAACATTTAGAAAGATATTTAAGAATACACTGACTTAACAGACGCACAGTTCTAGAAATTACCGACTGCTTACCTTACTTTGAACTACCCTTGCTATAACTTTATTTATGCTAATATTTAGAATGTATTTAAAATGGTATAGTTATTTAGAAATAGAAAAAGATAGAAATTTAGAACTTACTGAAATTGGGACAGAACATAAGGTAATAGATATTTAAAAATAGAATAAGATCGATATTTAGAACTTTCTAAAACTGGGTAGCTTATAATTTATTTGTAACTTTTATACACACGAACGTTAATCTTTAAAATATTAATATTGAACCAATAAATAATGTAAATATGTGTATAAATTAGTTTCGAAAAAACATGCTTATGAATTTGAATATGAGGAAATGGTGCAGCACGTGCACATGGTGCTCACTGTTGAGAGCACATGTGGTGCACGTGCGCCATGAACTTAATGGATTTGAAATTAATTGAGCAGCTTATGCTAATGCATTTAGACGAGTTAAAACAAAAACCTCTACTCTTTCTTAATAAAAAATACTATGTTAATCATTACTACGAAAGTATTATCAATAAAAACAATAACCAGAAATACAGAAATGTATCAAATTTGAGTGGTGTATATACCCTAATCCAAAATTTTAAAATCAAAATTTGAAAAATAAAACACAAAGCACATACACTTGGTTAAAATACAAATACACATAAAATGCAATGAATTTTAGAACTAGGGGGTCCCTCAGATGATGTTAATTCTGAGAGGGACCACACCAATAAAATTAAATACTAATACGACAATCAAAACACACACTGCTAACAGACTAAGCAAAAATCTAATGTATTTACATAACACAGGAAGTGAAGATGACAAAGAAGACCATTACAATAAGGTCCTGTAAAATAAAAATAAAATGAAAAAAACACATAATTTATTTACAATTTATTGGTCACAGTGTCATTCAGTATTGAGTTATTCCAAGACAATACGGAAATGGATGTCCTTACTAACTGGTACCGTTCTCTTCAAGCTTTCTTCTAGCAGGTCGAACAATTAGATACAGAGATGAAGTTCTTTGACAGATGAAAGGGGAAGTAGGATGGCATAGGTTCTCAATTTAGTTTTGTCATCAAACTGTTTATTACCATCATTTCCTTTTTCTGTTATCCTTAAATTGTCGTCAGCAGCTAAGGATTTTGCCGCTGTATTTAACCCGTGTACTCGCCTAAGAAGATAAGGAATTTTTCAAATAATTTTGGCCGGCGTTAAAAGTCAAATATTCATCAACTTCATTTGACCATGTCGGCGACCATCGAAACCTTTCGAATATGTTTCAAGTTGCAGACAGCGTCATTACTTAGTCAAAATAGATAAGAGGCCATTTTTAAGTTACTCGCGTTAATAGAAATGCGCTTTCGTCTGCTTGTTGAGTCTACAATAAAATTCATTATTCAGGGATCCATATTTGGAATCAAGCAGTTCTTGTATTAGTTTACAAATCAATGTAGATTGTGCTAAATGTCGTGACATTTTTGTTCCAATCCCAAACTCTGAAGAAAATATGGAACTTTCAATACCACGATGTGTTTAAAATGTTTGACACTATGGTAAAAACAAAATTATGCTATATAGCCGAAGTATTGGATTGTGACTAATCTGACACTATAGAAAGCGTGCGTGCAAATTTTTTTCTATAAAACAGCTTTCGATCTTCCATCTAATGTAATCAATTTGGAAGCTCTTGGTGAAAGCGGTAGAGTTGCTATACGTCTAATATATCCTATTAAATGTGTTTAATATCGATGTAAATCACTGCACGTGGATAAAATAGATACCCCCAAAAAAATTTATGTTGATTAAATTTTTTAATGAGGCAAGCTGTGTAATTATTGAACATAATTTTTGGAAAAGCTTTAACTTCACACTTCAAAGGATTAAGGAGATATAATTCTTTCGAAAACTGTTTTAATAAAATGATTGTCAGACTTTATGGCAAGCGCACAAAAAATAATCTCCCAGTTATATTCGCTATAAATATTTGAAATTCCCATTAAATGTGTATGATTTGTGTGATTTGGATTTTCTAATGGAGCTTTGACAATTTTTCAGTCATACTGCTACAATGTCTGCAGTGTGGCAGTTTATAGTGACGTCTAGCACTGACGCATCATGCCGCAGACATGTAGCATGATGTCCCACCCAGTCACATTATCCTGATATCAGGCCGATCAGTCCTAACACTAACCTCTTAATGCTGAGCGCCAAGCGATGCAGCTGTTAGTACCATTTTTATGTCTTTGGTATGACTAAACTGGTGTTCGAACCCACGTCCTTCCGCACCCGAGGCGGACGCTGTAACCAATAGGCCACCTAATTACTAGAAAAAATACTTATATAATAAGTGTACCATATCACATTAGACGATCGCTTGCCCAAAATCTCCGAAGCATGCTTAATATTGTAAAAGGTCAAACGTTAGGAGTTGCGGGGGCTGAGAGGTATTGTCCATACTGCATAGATTATAGAATAGCCATTCTTGAAGAAGAATTTAACTTTTTTTTGTGTATGACTTCTGTATGCAAATACAATCTTGATCATGGGATAGCCATTCTTGAAGAAGAATTTTAACTTACCTTAAGAATGGCATCTATATGCAAATACAATCTTGATCATGGGACAGCCATTATTGAAGAAGAAAATAAGTTCCTTTGTGTATGACTTCTATATGCAAAGACAGTTTAGCTCACTGAACAGCCAGTCTTGAAGAAGAATTTTAACTTACCCCAAGAATGGCATCTATATGCAAATACAATCTAGATCATGGGACGGCCATTCTTGAAGAAAAATTTAACTTCTTTTGTGTGTGACAACTATATGCAAACAAAGTCAAGAACATGGAACAGCCATTCATGAAGAATTCAACTTCCATTGTGTATGACATTTGTATGCAAATTTAAGATAAACGTATTTTTATAGCTATGTAAATATCAATGTTGCAATCAAGGATTTTAAAAATATTTTCACAAACATATGACAGATATAATAAACGTTTCTTATTAAGAGTACAGTTGTACACATTCACTATGCATCTCGAAGATGCAATATGTTGATTAAGAAGTATCTAATGTTGCACTACAAATTTATACACATTACGAATTACATTGTATTTTGTCCATCTATTTTGTATTTAGATGGCACACGCCATGTAAAAAAAAGAACAGACAATATAATACTTGCAATCCCTTGCATTAAGAAATCAGTAACAAAATGACAGAAAATATGTTTACAATACTTCCATGGGTACGATAATGGAGGGACATTTCAGCGTAAAAGTGACAGAAATATAATGTTTACAATACTGCCGTGGTACAATAGTGGAGGGATACTCCAGCATTCAAATTAAGATGACATAAAATATAATATTTACAATACTTCCATGGGGACGATAGTGGAGCGACACTCCGGTAATAAAATGACTTAAAATATAATGTTTACAATACTGCGTTGGGAACGATAGTGGAGGTGACAGTCCGGTATCAAAATGACAGAAAATATAATGTTTACAATCCTGCATTTGGGACGATAGTGAAGGGACACTCCGGTATCAAAATGATGGAAAATATAATGTTTACAATCACTTGCATTACATATTCCATTAAGGTTCTGCGAATGTCCATTAAAGAGCAATTAACTCTCCTCGTCTTATCTAACAAGTATAAATTTTGTTCACATATATCCTGTTGACATGTACATGGAGGCTGGCCAGATTGCATAGTTATCGGAGAGAAAGATGATTCTTTGCAAAAGCTGCAGTAGATGAACTAATCGCAATGCTAATAGCGTAACAGCGCCGAATCGTAAATGCAGCAAAACGTAAAGCAAAGAAAAATAACCATCTTCTCATAGGATATCGTAATGCCATGCAGTGGAAAGGAAATGGAATACTAACAGGATGAAATAGCCCAGATTCACATCCTTAGTTTACGGGGATTGTTAATACAGATGCAATATAACCATTTGGTTTCTTGAATTTCCAGCCAGCATTTTTAACAGAATATCAGTTTAGTGACAAACACGCTTGGCGCTACAAAGAGCTCGCAAATGTGATGAATTAAATAGTTGCATTTGCTGACATTTCCACCTTGAAAAGGTGAAGGGGAACATGCAAAATACTACTGTAGGAGTTTTCACCTTTGCTTCTTGTCTTTAATTTGCCGACAAGATGCGAATATATATTAAGTGTTAACCTTTCCACGGTATTCCGCTCAAACTAATTCCGAATCGTTGTAATAGCCTTGAATGACAGAATGGTCTCACACGCTCGTCTTTAAGATCGCTCACATCTCACAACTATCATCGTGGGTTCAATTTTCGACTTGAACAAGTTTGGTATGAGATAATGGTAGCCCGTGAGTTGGTGGTTCTACCCAATTTCATCCTTCCCCAAAAATATTAGCTGTCAGTAGCTGTCACATGTAGCCTAAAATGTTCTGAAAATGGTGTTGAACTCCAGAAAACCAAACTATCCAGACATAATATTTTTGTACTTAAATTCAAATAATTGATACCTTCTTGTATTTGCTGGACAAATGTTGAGGACAATTGGAGAACAATGTTTATAATAATAAAGGCGCTGTTTGTGACGTAAAAAAGTAACTGACGTAGAAATCCATCCTGGAAAGAAAAATTCTGCATCGTTAGACCGGAATTTGTGAAACAATGTGGGCCTAAAGGGAGTGTTCATAAATCAATCTGTTGGGAACTTAAACTTTTTCTTATCTTTAGTTAAACAACGACCATCTAGCCAGTTTATAAAAAAAGGTATAGAATCAGAGACTTCAAGAAATAATATATATATATATATATATATATATATATATATATATATATATATATATATATATATATATATATATATATATATATATATATATATATATATATTATGTCATGAATGTTCGGCTATAAGAAGTATTTAAATATAGTAACAAATTTTCGAAGACCCTTTCAGAAATAAGGATGTCACCACATACTTTACGTGTTGAATTGGGAAATTGGAATAGCACTCTTCTAGATCAAAGAATATGTATGCATTGTAAAGTGCTGGAAGAGGAGTATCACTTTGTTTTAGAATTCCAGTGTCATTTGCCGCTAAGAAAGATATACATACATTCTTATTTTTGAAGTAGTCCGATTTGTTGAAATTTATTAAATTATACAATTCCACTCAAACTGCTGGGTTTAGAAATCTGTGAATTTATATTCACGAAGCACTAAATTGACTGTAATAATATGATGAAAATTACTTAAAGTGACATTATCCTTTTCATTACTGTCATGTTTCATGTATTATATATTTATGATACTATAAAGAAGATAATGTTGAATGCTGTTGAGATATTGATGACACTTTTTGTGTCAACTCCTGAAGATTCTGGTATGGAAGCTCATGAATGGGATTCAACAAGCAAATAATGTAGTAATTTACAGTTTATAGATTAGTGCGTTGTGTCCTTACTTCGTATCAAACGTCCGTACATGAGTGCAGGTATCGATGTTTATAAGCGTCGATATGTATGTACTAATGGGTACATATGCAATTGGGTCTATGTAAGCATGTATATGATATGAATACTTAATGTACAGGTGAATATGCTTAAAACTGTGGGTATGTATAATATGTAATTATATATCTTTGGAAATTATCGAATCTTTGTAAATTCGATTGGGTTGTTTTTCATTATGTATTAAACCACCATCAATGTTTTTGTAGCAAATGTATATACTTGATGACGGCTAATCGGCTAATTACAAATAATATTCTATGTTATAATACAGTGATATCGGCTGTACCGTAAATTAATATGAACAAAGATAAAGTATATAGTGCAAGTGTTCAGAGAAAGATGTTAATACAAGTGTAAATATGTGTTGAACACAAATACATAGATACACAATCACACGCGCGCGCACACCAAAGTACATGTACCTTTTAGCCGGTATAATATATAATGATATCCGATAAGTCTTATTTTGTTTAGGTCTATAGGCCTGCAGAAAGAAAAATGACACCTCCAATTAAATCTTAAAAAACCCATAAACCACGGGTATAAACCTGACAAACACTGTGAGTACACAATAAATATGGACTGGGAGCATATAATAATTAACGGTTTCCTTGCAGAGAAAAAACTTCAAGAGGTACAGCGAATATGCGTTTGGAATCTGTATTTTACATTCCTCTGTGTTTTCATCGGATGGCGTTACATTTTGCAGGCGACTTTTGGATTACTAGTTCATGTCTTGGAATGCAACGTACAGAAATGAATATAGATCCCATGATAAACACATTATTTTTTATATTCAAAGTGGCATTTCGTAATGAAAGGTATTTAAGCACTTATGATGTATTTTAACGAACAACTATGAAAGTGTAACCAAGGATTCGTGAAAAACTGTTTTGAACACGAGGCTAAGAATGAAGCCTGCAATAACTCCAATTTACAGATGTTTAAGGTATTAAGGTATTAAATATATCCCTAAGCTTGATATTAAAAATTATATCAGTCGAATATTAACAGCTATCGGTTCATGATTCGCTAAATCTCTGAAACCACGACAGATGTAAATCTCCGTTGCGTAAATCATTGAAGAATGTGCTACTTATTGTTACTTCTTTTAATTCATGGTTCTAATTTTAGTTTGAACTATAAATTTATTTTTTAAGTTGGCTTTTGTTTGAAAAGGTCGGTTTCATTTATCGGTTATTTTAAAAAAAGTTTTGTGTATTTTGAAATTCCTCCCCAATTTAACTAATTTCACGTGAAGTTATAGTGAAATAAAACAGTGCTATTAACAAAATTTCTGGTTAAACTCATTGTTTTATACCATATCCGCATCTTCCTGTGCTTTTATTTCTTGGTATTATTTCAACCTTAACTTTCAGAACACACATGAAGCTAAACTAGCTGGTGGAAATTATTTTACCTTGAACATTTTAACATTTATTGGCTTTAAACTGTGCACGATAAAGAAGCAAAACCAACATTTTTAGTATAAAAAAATCAACAAATAATTTAATTTTCCAAGTTAGAAAATGAACATTTAAGAGGAACTTACTGTATTGTGAATTAAATCCCAAATAATCAAAAATGTTTTATCGCAAGTCCAAAGTATTGAATGCTCTGAATGAATTTCAGTAGTCTTGATTGTCTTGATCTATAATAATGATGTGATCTAAAATGTCTTGGAATGAGTCATCAATAATACCGAAATAGTGTGTTATCTTTTAAAAAAGTAAACGAGCACCTTATAATTCCAAGGAATAATTTCAACAAATAATAAATCTCTAATTTGAACTGAACACAACTATAAAA